AACTAACGCTGGAACTGACACACTTTTTTCATTATTAAACATCCACATTAAGTCAACATTGGTCACTGTCATTTCATGTTTGGCACTCTCTTAAGGGGAAGAGGGAGAGATGGGGGTGGGAGTGGGGAGGATGGTGGGAGGAGGGATGGGTGGGAATGGGAGGAAAAGCATCCTGAACCCGGTGCTCCGTAAGCATGAGTAATAAATAGGCTCCTGCTTACGATGCTGGAATAAATATTGTTACAAATAGCTCTTTAGTTACAGCCCAGCAGACAAGTACATGTCAGAGCCTTTTAAAAGGACACACTCCAAGCGACAACAGGGAGAACTCGTATCACAGGTTAAGAAACACTTCAGCAGAGGAGGTATACGTATTCAGATGCACTCGTCTCGGAGCGTGCTATGAGTGTGGCTGTGTCCGTACACGTCTGAAATGCTCGTGTGGCTGTGTATACTTACACAACTGCCCCAGCCGACGGCACCTTCAGCAGCAGGCACCGGCATTCGGAAACCAGTACCTGCGTTTGTACCAGGGTACGCAGAAACAGGCTCACAGACCTGCCTGTGTGCCCCCTGTCCTCCTTTTTTTTCACAGTTACCAGGGTACATACACAAATGTTGGAGAGTCTGACTACTGTAAGAAAATCACTGGCTAGCTCGGCGCCTGTTTGTGCTGTGTATCTCTGAAAGACTGCACTGTAGGCTTGTATGCATGCACACACATGCTGGCTCTTGGTGTTTGTGTATGTCTCCTTTGCAGAGGAACAGGCAATTTGGGGGCCGAACAAACAGACCAGAGTCCGCTTGCTGATGTTGCCCATTGTGGTGTTTGCATTAAATGATAATCTGTGCTCTAAGCTACATGTATAAAAGGTAACACTGTTTATGTATAGTACATATCAAGCTATAATTAACTGTAGATGACAATTACAAATAAAACTATGCTCCTGGGTTTCCAAGAAACCAGAAAAACATATACACACACTTCTCATTTATACATGGAAATGTTTCCAAGAAAAGTAATGTAAAAATATGTTTTATTGCATTTGCAATTAAAATAGGTTTTAGTAAAATCCATGTTCATCATGATGCTCATAGTTTTTACTGTAATCCTCTGAAAATCAAATCCCTTAAGATGGTCCAACTTGGAAGCCCATAAAGTGACTCACCCAAATCATCCTAGCCATTTTTAAAAAACCTTTTCTCATTTATGACTCCTTTTGAACAGCTTCTCTCCAATTCCACAAAATTCCTGTCTGACTACTGCCTTACAGCTGGCAGGTCTGGCTGTCCACAGGGATCAACCCATCTGGGAACATAAGCCAGGTAACAGGTCATGTTCGTGAGCGCAGAAAAGCCCCAAGAGCTTTAACAAGAGACTCACAAAGGTGATTTCCAGCCCTGAGCCTGCCCAGCTACCCCTGGCAGATAAACTCCTCCCAAGGGTCTAACATACGTGTTCAGTACTGCACAGAGCCTACCTTCACTGGTAGGCTGCAGCAGCAATTCCTGCAACGAAGAACTGAACAGGTCTCAGAGAATCTTGGGTCTCCATAACCATGTTAGCCATAGCAGAAAAGGAGAGATGAGAATTTGGGATAGCCCCAGACAAGTGTTTGTTGCCTATAAAGTTTGAGGTAACTCTACAGGAAGAAAAGTCTTTCTTCTGTACATAACTATAGACATAATATACATTTCTGAGTACGAATATGCCCACGGACACATAGACACATAGACACATTAGGCTAACACTCTTTTAATTCCATCCCCCACCCCCTCAAAATCTCCCTCTCAGGAAGCAACCAGTGAGCAAATGTAACATCCCAGAAGTTCAAGGGGCTGCTTTTAAGTCCCCCAGTGGGACCCTGAGCTTCTGAAGGGAAACCCTCAGTGGTAACACTGCAGCACTCTATTTCTCAGTACCCACCTTCCCAACTATCTCTTTTTCTTTCCCTTGAGATAAGGGAAAAACAGAATAAAATTTAATTCAAAATAGCAACACTTGCCTTCCTCTCAAATGTTACTCTTAATAAGAGGGAAAATTTTAAAGACCCAGATCAAACAAACACAAACTTTCGAGAAGTTAGGAGTTAGGATCCGAACTCCACAGCTGGCTAGTCAGTGGATGGCCTAGAGCATCTATGGGAAAGGAGAAAAAATGCCTGAACTTTACAGCCTACATATTTTCCTCTTTTGGGTCAAATGCAAGAGACAGGTCGGGAGACCCTACAAGTGAAAAAGTGAAACTTCTTAACTAGTGCTTAGTGGCTTACGTGGTCACCCCAGCAACTCAAATGCCATTATAGTCTAGGGAGAGCTCCGACTTGGTTCTGTCCTTTCCTGTCTCCATGTTAAAAATAAAGTAAAATAAAATTAAGTAAAGTGAAATGAAATGAAATGAAATGAAATGAAATGAAATGAAATATCAGTGCACCCCGATAAAGTTTTGGCACTTATTGTATTGAAAACCCCAAACCCTACAGTTGCTTTTGAAAAATTTTCAATTGAGCAAACAATTTTTTCTTCCTGCTACCTTGTAAAAGAACTCCTCTCTGCCCTCCACGAGCCCACCAGGAGGCATGAATTAGAGAGGAAAATAAACTTCAACTGGGGTTGAGGGTGAGAAGTGAAAACAGAAGGGGTAAGGAGAATCCCAACAATAGGAAAGTAACAGAATAAAGTGAATGCAGATGGTTCCACTCCTGTTACTTAATCAAAAGGCTGTGCAGAGTCACTAGAGCCAGCATAAAGTCATGTGTTAGAACAACAGCTGATCTGTATTAAAGAAGATTAACTCGCAATGCCATGGTGGAGGGCCTGGGATTATTTTATGTACTTCCATTGCCGAACAAGCCGTCAGCACAATTACTGCCCTCCGATGTGAATGACTGATCTGTAACCACAGCTAAACAGCATGCTGCTTAGGGGCCTGGGTGCTTCACGAAGATGAATTTCCATACCATCAAAGTGCTTTTAATGGGCTTCCTGATCCAACCACAAGGCCTGCTTTGCAAGTATATAGAACTCAGGATGAAGGCTTCCTGTCCAAAAGGATTTGGTCGGTTGTCACTTGACAATTCCCAGCCAGCACAAGGGAGGAGAGGGGGGAGATAGGTAGAGTTGTCTCTGCTTTGGAGGATTAAAAAAAAAAAAAAAAAAAAAAGGAAGAAAAAAAAAAGGGTACAGATGCTTTCTGAATGCAACCAACTGCTGTATCCACAGCTGAATTCAATGCGCTTAACAAATAACGGCAATTTAGCTATGCTTGCGAGGAATAGCTTGAGTCACTTTGCATTAGCATCTGGCTGAGTGTTAAAGTCATTTCTACATGGGGAGCAGAGAAAAGAAATTTCTGCTCCGAGCATCCTTTCAAGAATGCTTAAATATTTGAATATAAATTCCTTTGTGCTTGTGATCACTTCTTCTTATATCTGACACTCTGCTTTTCCCTTTTCCCTTCTGGTACTCTTCCATGTGAAACGCCGTAAACATGCTCCATCCCTCTCTTTCCTTATCTCCCCCCGTACTAGCGCTCTTATTCTTCTAAGAGAGATTGTATGTACTGCCAGATACCTATTACACTGACCTCTTTCTTCCTTCCCCTTCCTCTCAAGAAAGTGCATGAAATTGGAGTCATTTCTACATCACTTACACCCAGGATGGCCTGATGAAAAAAGTACAGTAGTGAGAGACTCACATGTACATTTAACATTCATTACCCAGACTGCTGGCTTCTCACAGCTTATTGATCAAACTCCATCTAAAAACAGGGAAAATGGAAAGCTATCCAAATTAGCAATCTGCTCATTCTGGACAATATTGTTTGACTCACAAGCTTCCTAGGATGACTGACTTTCAAGTTTCTGCTAAATAGCTGATCATTTTTATTCATCATATTTATCTGCCTATCTCAGTGATTCACAGAAGGCCTTCCAGTGAAAAGCCACTAGAACCAGTTTAAATAAAATTCAGTTTACACCAAATGCAACAACAGTCATCTTCGTTGTACCGCACGACGAAGGCACTATCACCTCAGAAAATATTGCAGGGGAAGAGAGGAACTGAGGAAGAGTCTTGCTAAGCACATGAAGCTGAGATGCACACAAGAGTTTGGATGTGCATCTTAGGTGGCAGTATTATAACGACAGTTCACTATAAATGTGGCAGCGAGGACTGGTAGCTCTATTTATCCTCCGTCAGCCAGGGTAGTGCACAAAAAGACATCAGGTATTTGCAGAGAAAAGCAGCAAATCATAACCTGTTTGACACACGCGACAGTTACAGTACATACAAATTTTACGAAAGAATATTCACTTTGTCGATATTTTGTTATAGCACAGCTTCATGGGCCAGTTCAAAAGCAGAAGGTAGTAAGGCCCATATGTTCTTCTGCCTCTAAGTTTCACTGCAAATATTTGGTGCAGTTTGTGTTGTCAATTCTCCATTTTTTTCAATTTTGTTAAGTCATTTAACGTGACATGACAGTGCTACATTGCAATGGTCACAAAATATCGTATATGACAACCTCACAAGGCTAAATACCCAGAAGCTGAGCCTGAGTATCACCAAAGCTTATGTTCCTAAAGAAGCTTGAATATTTTCAAATCCAGCTCATCTCACAAACACATGTAAGCATTTCCATAAAGCAAGATTTCCACTTAGACCCAGAGATGTCTAAGATCACCTTCTCATAATACACACTGACAGGCTGGAACAGAGAATTAGTGGCCTCCAAAGTTCTCGTGAGGGCTTTAACTATCTCTGCCTCCTCCCCACTCTCCCCCAAGGGTCTCCAGGTTTCTCTCTCATGTCATCTTTTGGTTGTGGTTTTCATTTTACTTTTCGCTTCTTCTGAAAGAAGCAACTATTCTGTTTTATACTGGGGGAGAAGAAAATAGAGCAAGAAAAAGGAGGGAAAAAAAGGAGGAAGAACCTATGTATCTGTTGGGAGAGCCAAATGCAATCTCTGACCCTTTGCAAAAGGAGTCTCGGAAACTCACCTTTTCTGTCCTGCAGTTATTGAGACCCAGGCTGTTCACAACCGCCACCTTCCCATCCAGCACCTGTTGTTCCCTCCGAAGTTGCTCCTTCATCTGCCGGGCCTCTTGGATTGCCTTGGTAACAGCATCGTGGTCATTTAAATAACCTGACGACGTGATAGAAGAAAGGATATCTTAAAAAAAGAAAGTTACAAGAAAACACTTTAGCTTTCATCGACGAAACGCACCGACAGTTTATCATTATTAATGAGAAAGAGTTAAAAGGTAATGCCCAGAAACCCGTCCGTGCTTTGTAATTCTGTTCTTGTTATGACAGAGCCACCTGGATAGAAAGCATGAGAAACCTCCCTGCCAAAATCATCGTCCTGATATTTGATCCCATTAGTTTCAATATTTCCCTGACGCTGCAGAGGTTAGCCCTGTGGTTTGCATGCAGCAGGATGTAACTGGATAAGAGTTAGGCGAAGCTTTGATCCCGCCAACAATCCCAAACTCTTAAAAATAGCCCATTTCATTCTTCCCCTTCTTAAAAATTGTGAATACATTAAAATAAACCACAGGTGGCGGTGGTTTGCTATAGATATGAAACGCATAATGGCTGGGAAGAGAAACCTCATCCACTGAACGCTCCCCACCACCACCTGTCATTCAGAAATGTATAAGAAACCACAGCTACACGGACCTACATTCCCGCTCCTATTCATGCTGCTAATAGTAGGTCAAATGTCCACTGTTTTGCTGCAAATTCACAGCCTAGGGCTTAGCCTTAGTAGTCACTGAATTATTTCCTTTTAAAATGTTACAAGCATCACCGGCACAGCTAATACTATTTAATTTTAAATGTGACACTTTGTCATTTTTTTCCTTTAGCGTACTGTAGATTATACTTATTATGATCTGCATGTGATTTGTAGGATAGAATACTGATGGGAGACTCCGAGCCCCAGTCTATTTTTCAAACATTAAAGGAGAGGCTAATATCTATCAATCTCCCTCCCCCTCGCCACATCCCCACACGCGCCCGCACGCACACACTTCTTTCTGTCTTTTAACTAGGGCATAAAAACGGCATAAAATGAATCTGTAATATGAAATTGCCCAGAAAAGGGACTTCTGTTTGTGACATGAGGCTAAATCTAACCAGATCCATTGGTGAATTGTGACAGATGGAGGGACTGTGAGACAGAAGGCAGGCACTAATCACACACAAAATGACCGGCTTGCCTCAACATGTTCCATGGATTCCAGCAAACTTTACACCCTAATCCATTTTTAGAACAAAAAACATCTGGGCCATAAATCCTCTAATCTGCCAAAACACGCTATTAAATCCCATGATTTGTTGAAAAACACTAAGATTAAAGAAAGGAAATATAAAATGGCTAACTGCCGTGTTAGGAAAGTGTTATTAATACTCTTTCTTTGTCTCAATTATGAATGTTCTGTTCCTAAAGAGCCTTGTCTAATCATGTCAGATTACACATCCTTGTTGTATTGCTAGACTCTTCTATCTGATCCGCTGATTGCCAAAAAACGTAGGACATTGTCTTGCTGCTTAAAACATTTCAGGGGAAGAAGCTGATGTCAGATTAGTTCAGTGCTGCGCTGCCGGCAGGATTTTAGTTAGGTTTGGGTTTTTATTGTTGTTTTTTTAGACTGCAGACAGAATGGGACTGGTATTCCTGATTTCCTTGGCATGCAAAAACTAGAAAGAAAAGTTTCTGTGCGGCTTGACTGTTATTGATTGTTCTAACAGTTCACTTTTGGCTAAACACCCAGGAACCCTAAGAGTTTTATATGAAATAACTTGATCCACATTGCTTTTATCAAATGACCCAGATCAGTAATTCCCAGCCAATGGAATTCCAGTAATTCCAGCTTTCCCAGCATAAGGAAAGACAGAACCTGCACCAGCACAGTGCTACCAGTTGACTTTATTTTTTTAATCTCCATTTTATCGACTTGCTTGCTTTCTTCCCCGCTTTGCATCTGTTACTGATCAAGCTTGCATGTAGTCAGAATAAATTCAAAAAGGAGGCAAACAAACAAACAAACAGTAGTATTACTGCTGGTTGTGCTCTTGATTAGGCTAGGTATAATACTTTCAATCTGTAATACAGCTGAATTTGCCTAGGAACTGGAATTCATGCCCTTCTCCAGACTATTTGGCTTTTCCTGAACACTGCTATCTTTGAGACAGTTTGGCACATGACAGTGAATAAAAGCAAGCACTCCTTATGTTTTTCAGTAGCTGCCAAGATGCTGGTGTGCAGGGAAATGATTAATATAGAAGTGAGTTGAATGTAAATTATTGTTGTTTAGGGTAGGTGGTGAATTATTGACAGAGAGGGGAACTGCATTACATAAAATGCACTTAGTTACAAGGATTGCCAAACTAGCATAGAGATGTTGAAGATAATGGCAAAGGGCAGAGAGAAGTTGTTTCTGTTTTTAGTACACGGACATATGCCTGTTCCCAAAAAGAAATGCTTGGATTTAAAGTCATACAGGAAGCCACGACATTTGTGACTGCTCAGTCTGCAGCATAATTCATACACTATAAGGCTAGCTCTAGAAAAGGACTACGTAGCTGCACGCCTCAATGCAGCTACACTCATATTCATAGGAGGCTGTAAGTTCACATGCTCCAGAGGCAACTGAACAATACATGAGCATTTCTCCATGCTATAGGAACCAAGCAGCCTGAAGAATGGCTTTCAGAGAGGGTTTTAATTTGAAGTTAGCGGCAGCAAAAAGCGCCAGCTCGGCTGCATCCCAGCAAGGTGGGCCATGCACGCCTCGGACAGACAACTTGTGTGTTGAATTGACAGCTCCAGTCATTCAAACAGTGGAAGAAACTGTCTGGCAAATGACTGCATGTTTCCCAGCGACTTTTTTGTAGAGGGATTCATCTCTCAAGATAAAAAAGTAATCCATTTTCTCTGCCATTTTTAGGGACCTGAGCCTCTTTGCTAAAAATGTTATCAAAATTTTTTTGTGGTGTAGCCCCTACTGGACGGTGATGTGAAATTGCACGCTCACTTTTTTATGGTTTCAACATGATAATGAGTTTTACTTGCTATAACTGTGGTCGGATCTGACCTAGCAGTTGGCAGGAAAACTCCATAGCGTGTTCACAAGCCTGTCGTTCTTCTAGTCCTCCATTAAAGGACAGACCTTTGTTAGAAGTAGGCTATGTCTGTCCAGCTCCTGCACCACTGTCGAAGACTGCTTATCTTGTACATACAGTATGCACAGTGATACTGCTCAGCAACCTCAAAAAGTCACTTTCTATATTTGTAGCTGAGAGATATACAGCAGTGAAGCCTATGTCATTAACAATAACTTAAGTATGTTATCTTTTGCTCCACAGTTTTCCATGGTTTATTAATGGTATAACACATTAATTCTTCTTACAAGAGTGACCTTTAAAGCTCCATTCATCCTCACAGCTTTTATCCAATTACATTATCACTCATTACAGGTACAGCATTTCAAAATCTGCATTTTGTTAAAAGAAGTAAATTGCAGGGGTCTCAAACCTATGAAAAACATCAGGTGTGCAGGAAAAGAAGATTGGAGAGGAGAGGACATGAGATGTCCTGCCACTGAGATGCAGGTCAGATGCTTAACTCCACATCTAAATGTGGTGCTCTACTGAGGACAAAAAAATTAATTTGAAAAAATTGAAACTTGATGCATTGTGCATGGAGAGCAGTAGAGCCAAGCAAATTAAAGATGAAACACGTTATTACCTACCAAAGTTAAACAGTAGTGCTAATAATAACATATACATTAACAATTAACAATGTGATATTTACACAATATTTATATAACTGTAACATGTCATACGAAATAAAATTATTTTATTTTCTATAGGATGTAGGAGCATATTCTCTGATATATGTAATCCTCATCAACATGAGCAATAATTATCTATGCACAGTGGGAGGGTAATACAGTGGGAGCTAGATCTGTTTTATCTTTGGACTTAACTATGGGTCTTCCTGGTGTCTATGTGGGTAGAATATGGACTACAGAGAGCTTGGGAGAGACCCACAGAGACACGAGAAATTTTTACTACATAGCACTGATATATCACAGAAACAGCTTCTGATATATTCGAGCTATGGTTTCTTTTGTTTGTGCCATCTCTGAAAGTGGCCAGCAGGAGATGTTTTAGTAGCAACAAGACACACAGTAGCAAAGCCATAACAATCTACCTCAATTCCCTGAACAGAGCTTGATTTACATCCTGATACCTTAATTCAGGTTATATTCAATCACTTCATAGAATGAAACGTTTCAGTTAGAAGGATGAAGAACGGGGTGTGTACACATTTTACTTAAACACACAAAGAACAGTCCCTTTAACACATCAGACTTGTAAAATCACCATTACGACCACCATTATTTAGGTGGTCTTTAGGCAAAAAAGTAATTTTGACAGGAGGAAGAATTAACACTATTTTCTGGAACAATGTTCAAAACAGCCAGTCAAGACTTTTTGCAAGATACAACATCAAATTTGGTTTTTTGAATGAACCTGGTGATTGTGTTGTTTATTAGACCAAGGTAAAATAATGCTCCATGCAGCTTTTTAGGGGACTAAGGATGTATTTGCATATGTAGACTTTAAACTTAAAGGGATTTTTTTTTTAAAGTTTATTCACCACTTTTAGATGACATAGTAGAATACCATGTGTCCTTAATGCCCGCTGTTAGACAGGTCACTGTCTTTAATGTATGCCATTAAGCAAACAGCATTTATTAACTGTTATTGATAAAGCAGTATCTGAAATAGCACAGGCTTTTGTCTTCCAAGTCTGTTAAGATACTCCTCCTGACATCGTAAATCCCTGGGAGTCTTCACGGACATCAACAAATGTAGTATTATGGTAAACCCGTAACAGCTCACAGACCACTGTCTGGCAACTGGCTGTTAAAGACCCACTTTCCAATAACACCTATTAATTGTTACGAGGAGGAACAAATGAAACTGAGCTTACCTATTGTGTTAGCCCTGGCCGAAGGACTAGCTAATGTTGCTGGCACGGAGGATTTTAGTGAACTGGCCCCACTATTTATTCTCAGAGTTGGCATATGAGGAGAGGTGGGTGATGTGGGAGACTTGCCATCAGATGTCTTGGGTTTGGCTGAAAGGTTCAGAGGCTGGGCTACTTCATCCTACAACAAGCAAAAAAGAAAGGAATGTTATTAAAAAAACTGCTGTTGGCACAACACCCTCCACAAAGACAGTTGTCTTCAGCTCATACGACCTTCTAAACCGGAAAGGCTGTATGATATATATTAAGATCAAATGTGATACCATCTTGTCATTCCAGTTTGGAACCGAGATGACTGATAAACTGGAAAATTAGCATGGTGTGATCAGAGAACATCCTCCATTTGCACTTTGTATGTAAGAATTGTCTCTGAAGAAATTATTCACATCAACAAAATATATCCTTCTATGATGAAAATAAAGAGCACTTTTACACTTACATTTTATTGTTACTTTATGCTAAACTTGATATGGATGAATTAAAAAAGAACCGAAGAGCATTTTCACTGAAAATTCCATCACCGCCACCCAAATTGGGCAAACATGTTTGAGTGAATAGGTTTTCAGTTGCATTTTTGGGTTTTTTTTGTTGTTCTGTTTTGTTTGTTGGTTTGTTTTTTTAACTTGTGCATTTCTCTGAATTTCCCATGTTTAGAATTGCAAGCACAAAAATATCTCAGGAAATAAATACTTCTCTTCTACCACAACAAGACAGCAGGAAGAACCCACCTTTTCTTTCCACAAAATCTGAAACAATAACCTGGGTAATACTGCATAAGCCTGTCTATTTCTTCATATTCTGCGGAGTTGGACTTCAAGATTTCAGTAATTATTATTATGCAAATATAGAAAAATTGGGTGACGTTTTTTACAGCATAATTGGAATTAGTCCTAAACATGGCTTGATTACACAGAGTAACAGAGAGCGCTATAAAACACATTAAAATTCTAAGTTGTGTATTTTTGTTTGACCAAAATACAATAAGGGGGGAAAAAAAAAAAACAGTCAATGGAGAAGAAGCCCTTCAAGGGGGATATTTTGGAAGTGATTTTAACTTACTTTTAAATAACAAGAACTAATGGATATGGCATTAGATCCAACCACCACATGTTAGCTTAGGTTTCCTCTCACACTGTGACTTAGGAAAGCCATCCTCTGGCTCCTGGAAGTGTTGCATCACACAACTGGGTTTTGGCCCTAGGCACTGAAGCAGCCAATTCTGATCTCTCTTGTAAGTACATTCACTGCTATAGAATTATTCCTGACTTACAGCAATGTAAAGCGGACTGAAATTAGACTCATAATGTTTGAGTGTTTTACTGTTACCACTAAGGTATCTGTAACTACTATCATATAATACTGATTCTTTTCCACAGAGGGTGGTGTGCTGCAGTAAAAAAGGAATTTTATGGTTGCCTATCGCTTGTGGAAGTATGATGTAGATGTACATATCCAAACACAGGACAATTCTGCAAAGCACTGTCATATAACTTTTCCATTACCTTAAAGAAGCAAGCTCTGAGCAAAGCACTTTTGTTGTATTTGATTATGTCTACACTTTTGTAATAGTCGTAGTTAAAAATAAATTAAAGCTTGGCAGACAAACATATCAGGGACATCGTGGACAAAGCTGTCATCCTTACAGTGGTATGTAAGCCATGCTAGATGCAACTTGTGCATAAAATAAAAGGGAAAAAATCAATGCATAAAATTGACTTAGGCGCCTATATTCTGTATTCTCAGAAGCGACTTGGGCACCTAGAAGGCAGACTTCTGTTGATCTTCTGGGAGACTTAAGCCTGAGGGCTAAAAATGTCACCCAGTTCAACTAGCATTTGACATTTTAAGAAGGTATTCGTTACCTTACAGAAATACAAATCCATCTGTAATAAAATAAAATAGATTAACCTAGTAGCCAAATGGAAGTGGACTTGCTCTGCTGTTTCACTGATTTCAATTAGAAAGAAAAATAAAATCCCACAACAGTGCGACCATAATGTTGTAAAATCACTACTGATATAGTTGCACAAAAGTGTAAGTACAAACCAGCCAACGAACCAACCAAACATAGCGACCCTGTGCCAGACAAGGACCCCTGAAGAGCTAAGTCATCTATTTGGAAGACAGTATCGGAAGGAATGCAAACCTGCCCACAGACTTGTTTCGATTCAATCCAAGAGGGGTTAGCTTCCACGTATATTCAATTCTTGACCTCTGTTGTAAGTCTCAACAAAAGGGTCTGATTAGTTTCAGGTATGCTAGTAAAAGCTGCCGTGTGCTCTCTGGCCACTGGAAATCTAACTGAGAGCAGCACTTTGGTTCACAGGGAGCAGCAACCGGTCCCTGATGGGAATGGCTCTCACTCCCTGCAAAGTCAGCTTGGATTCCAACCTGCATCCTCGCGCTGAAAGGTTTTTTTCTGTCTCATCCTTTTGACTCAATCCCTCAGCTATCCTGTGCCTATGAAATTTATTTCCTTTCCTTCCCTTCCCTTCCATCGCTCCTTCTCCCTTTCCTCAGTCCTTCTGTTCCCCTTTTTTAGCCTAGTGTGAAGGCAAGATCTTGTGCAAGTCCACTGTAGGACAGCGGTTTTGGTCTCATTTAATGCAAGTTAGAAACGGGGGAGGTGTTTTTTTACCATCGTAGGCATCCAGCAATGAAGCTGTCTGCACTGTAATTATTCTTGGTAGTAAGAATGCTCTTCTTCATTCAAGTCAGCACAGCCTTCTCTGGAGCCAAGAAGTATAAGGCCTTGTGGAAATAATAGAAGTCGACAGTTCCAGAGCTGATAAATGTCATTCCAAATTGCCCCTTCATTCACTTTCATTGTGTGTTCAGGCTAATGGTAAATTAATCGGAGGTCACAGAAGCTTGGTTCTCATAAAAGAGGATAAGTAAACAATTTTCAGCTATTACATGTATTTAGAAAATGATATTACTTCACTGTTTGGTCTCATAACATTTTTACTTCTGTTATTTCAAAGAGCATTCTCAAATCCTCACTGAAAGTCAAATACATTAAAAATTCAGTCATAGAGTTTAGAAATCCTACGTTGGATCACGAGCTGATAATAATTTAAGTCATTTCCTTTACCACAGTGGAACTACACTTATTCATTCCATGGGAGTCTAAAAAATATCTGGGAGACAGGTAATAATATACAATTGTGTTAAGTGTGAAGATGACCGTTAGGGTCTTCACTCCTATATTCAGTGAGCCGGTTTACTCATTTTCCTATTTGCAGGCATACATTCAGATTTTTCTGCTCTTCCAGTTTAAATCAAGAACTGTACTGTCATCATCACTGATTTGCACCTGTGTAACCACACGAAGAATTAGGTGTTGGCCTACCTTTATTTTTAACTATAAAATCTCCCAGCTAACACTCTGCCATATTATAGATTAGCAGGCTTCACTCTCAGTTATATCAAGGCTGTGTACAAGTGCAGCATGACAGCTAGGGCAAATAAGAGTAATAAAAAGAAAAAAATGTGGCATGTTCACTCCAGGTAGATGGTATCTTTCACCAGCCAGGAGATTTTATTTTATACAGTGGGATCACAGAATCTAGAACTACTCCCTGTACTTAGTTTTTAATAGAGAAAGATCGGTATTGATTGGTCCCTGCCTTTTTTTGACAAGCAGTTATTCTAAGATGCCATCGATAAGGTGGGTTTTTTTTCAAGCCAGTATTTTTTAGAGTTAAACAAAGTCAAACATTTATTTATATATCAGCCAAAACGATTAATGCTTAGACCAGAGGATGTTAAGACCCAAAAGGCTTGTAATAATATAAACACAGATGTGATGAAAGTAAAATATGATTTGATTAAAGGTTATTAAATGTTTCCTTTAAAGTAGTGCATTTGTCTAACAAAACAAAACACACACACACCAAATATAGAGAATAAAGCATAAGCGAAAACACACGACAGGGGGATAATAAAATGAAGTACCCACAGCTAGAGCAAAGCATTGGTAAAGAGATTCCCGTCCCCTGTACCACAGCAGTGTCAGAATAGTCCTTATTTTAGGGAAAGCTGGTGGTTTGCTTCCCAGGATTGGAAGGCTGTCGTTAATCAAAACTTTGGGGCTCAGGGAACTTTAAATCCTTGATTTGCTCTAGATTTTTTTTCTCAGCTGACCTCTAGACATACAAGAGAAGAAAGAAGAACCCTTCATCTACACCAGAATTTGGGGGGTAAACAAAATATTCAAGAGCTGTATTCTGTAGTTTCACTCAACCTGGATTTGTATAACTTTGGGCTTTCGTATTTAAGCATGAAATACTGAAAATCTCCAAATATAAGTGCCTGACAAGCAACATTTAAACAGAAATACTGCTGGTAATTTGAGTGTGCATCACACTGCTTTTACATGGGTTGTATGCTCCTTTGAAAAGGTAAAATGCTAGGTAAACACAAAGTGCTTATTAATATGTGAGGAAAAAATGAAAGAGAGAGCAAAAAGGAAAGGATTTGGTCACAGTCATACAGTAACATAGCAGCAGAGTTTCAGACAGACCCAGGAACTCTGACTCGCAGTCACCAGTGTTGCAAATAGTTGGCTGAAATGGTGACTTTTCTAATGTTTCAATCATGCTGTCTCTATTTACTTCCTCCTAAGATAAAAGGTTAATTTATCTCTATGGAGAATGGACATGGAAAAAGAAGGGAATAAAATCTGATTTTGAGAATCTCTCTAAACTGTTTATTAAAAATGGCACTATTTCAACACCAAGAGCTGAATAAAAGACTGATAGCCCAGATGAATGAACCAGTGTCAGAGAAAGAAAAAAAGGGGGATGGTGGGGAAGAACCCAGATGATTCATTCGGTTTTCATCATCTCACTTATTTTCACATATTTTAAAGATTAGTATACTATTAGAATACAGTTACTGAATTATTGTACTGTCATTTAAATCCAAGTGCTGTATCCCACTGTGGCACACACTGAAGGTCCAGGTTGCACGGTTTATTACAAAATCATGAACTACTCTGTGTATCATCTGACTGGCAATACAAATGTGCTTAAATGACCTGGCATAAGCACAGCCTAGCGTGCTCTACTAAAGAGGCTTTTCATGACCTCTGGGAACACATTCTCCACATCTTGCTGC